TTTTTATACTAAATCTGGAGTTGCTGCTACTGATCCATATTGTTTTTAGGGGCTTAAGAAATTCACTAGTGCTCAGTAACAGCCGGGGTAACAAGTATAAAAATATTTAGTAATATAAGAACAAGTGCTCCGTTATGATATACTTTAGCATTTCTAAAATTTCTACTGAAATCAGGGAGGATTTCAATGCCATTCTCAAAGATACTGTGCATCCTTTGCGAGAGTTTGCCATATTTCTCTGCTTGTGAAGTAGAAAAGTGAATGGAAATGTGCTTTTGAATGGAAATGAGCAGTAACTATGATAGCACAACACAGATAAGCTGTCCAGTGGCTCAAGCCACTATATCTTGAGTTCAACAGTCCATCTGTCCCTAAAACCTTGTTTTATGGCTGTTGCTTCCAATCCAATCTCTATTTGTGACAAGTCCAGTGAAGGTACCATAAATCCCAGCAGTGTTATGTGGGGCTGAGCAGAGGGAGACTGATATTCTGAGAAGCTCTGCTTGGGGGGTCTCGCCTGCATCAAGTTTAAGGGAACGGTGTAGGTGAAATGTAAATGTGAGCTGCCTTTCTAAAACTGGGCAAATCTGCCAAGCACCTCTTTCCAAACTATATTTTGAAGTTGCAAGCAAAAATTATTTGTAACTGCAACCATTCCCCTCTTTTAATTCAAAATGCAAATTCACATAATTAAATTCTTTCACTGATTTTTCCTGCCCATACTGAGGTACAGAAGCAAGGTATTGTTATGACCCTGAGATTAGCTCAGTTGGTTAGAGCATGGTGCTAATAACACCAGCATCATGGACTCGATCCCCAGCTAGGCCATTCATTCAAGTGTTGGACTTGGTGATCCTTGTGGGTCACTTCCAGCTCAGAGTATTCTGTGGTGCTGTGAACACATTCTAAAAAACTCTTGCCTAGGTCAGTGTATCTGTTGATATGCTGCAACGTGTTTGATTGCCATTAAATGCTGCAAAAATTAGGATCTGTGATTGCCCCAACTTTGAAATGACAGATGTCAATTGGACAGACATGTGAAGTTGTGGGTGTGCACACAGATATGGATGAATGTATATGCTTATGAATGTGCAGTATATAAAATTATGTGAAATAAAATATGGAGCAAGTTAAGCTTGGAATGACCACAAGCACAATGAAATCACAAGTGAGTTACGAGTACCAATAAAACTTTAATGCAGCACCATATTATCATGTCTTCTGCATCTGCTGTGTCTTCAATAGAAAATCTACTTAAGAAATGTCATGTATACCATTTTAGAATTATATGGTAGTATTTCTTGTACCTTTTCATCTGTAAAAGCTAGACCCCTTTTATATCAGTCCATCTGGAAAGGCCCTAAAAGGAAAAATAAAATATATTTTAGAAACCATATCTAAAATAGCATTAGTCTTCCAGCCATTAAATATCCCATTTATATGGTACTGCTTCTCAGAATTATCAGGGGCTAGCAGCTGGAAACCTCTTAGTCTTCTTTAGTGGACTCTGTATATGGAAATTCTATGAGAAATGTCTTCTTAAGGGAATGCACGAAGTTTCACCATTGTATGACAACATCACCCTTTGACATTGTACAGTGATGCACCCTGATCCAATTGTCTTAGTTTCTACCCCTCCCCACAGGAGGCTAAGAGGGAACAATATTTATATTCCCTGGGTATGTTTCCTACTGTTACACTCTTGTTGGTACTGTGGCTATTATATGTAGATTTGCTTGACTGTTGGGGGATCTTCTCTGTCATTTGAGAGCTCTTAAATGTGTGATGCTTGCTTTCTTGGTGCTTTTTGAAAGCCACTTACTAAACATGTGCATAGTTTCCCCCACTTTAATTTTTCTTCGCAGAAAAGCCTGTGTTATTTCTAAGTTTTTGCAGGCTGATACTTAACAAATTCCTTTATGTTCCAAGAACCACCTCTAGTCCCAGGTGTCATGTGACAGGAACCAAGATGAATTTTGGTCCTGTGTCAGCATCACTGCTTTCTGTTGGGAGCCTCACACTCCTCTTCTCTAGCATCCTCTTGGGTCTATTAGTGCCAGTACTTTGCTTTATTAAGAGAATCTGACAATGAAGCTGATGTTGCCTATCAGAATCACAGGTGCCAGAGAGGATTAACAGCCATGTTTAGGTCGTATCTAATGAATTCCTGCATCCTGCTGAGGAAATCACTGCTCCCAAATTAAGGACCCATTTTATCAGCATAACTGCAGTGTCCAACAGTACAGTGTATTTCCCTAGTGGAATTACATAGACTAGAAATTAGGACTTGTGTGCTCATATCAGCAGACACTCTTTCTTAATTTAGCTTAATGGCACTGATGCCAAGAGAAGAGTGCTCCAAGTTACAAATTTCTTGCCTTGATTCACCCCATGAAACTTCCACAAATGACAATAGAACAAATGGTTGGGAGAAAAACTGAGTTATTCTCACTACTATTTCTCAGGGGTTTCTTTTGTTTATCATGTCAGCTCCCCATCCCTTCTACTTTTTTTTTTTGTTGTATAAGTTTGAATACCACAGGCAGCTTTTAAATAATTCTGTTTGCTCACACAGGTAGCCTCACTTTTTAGCTTAACTGACTTCCATTGGAAACTGTTACTGATCCAGTAATGCTTTACGTAAGTTTACATTCCAGTATATTATTCAGTTTCAGCAATCTCCTGAAGCCTCTAAAGGACTTGTAAATTGTGGATTTAGACTTCAGTGCTTCTAAGGAATATTCTATTCCTGTTTAATTTCTAACATGTTTCAGAAGTTGCCCAGATCTCTATTTTTTTCTGATTTGTTTTGCTAGGGATCTTTAAAAATCTCCCATCTTACCTAGGGCTACAATTAAACGCTATGGAAAGAAGGTGTGAACCTCTTGGTGCAGACCTTCAGAACAGAATCTCAATTCTTCTGCTAACTTGAATTCTCAGGCTTGGCTTCTGGGAAAAAAAAGGTGGTGACAGGCAGAAAAGGCCATGTCTTGTGCCATGAAATTGAGATTTCACTTGGAAGCAATTGTGTGGAGACTTTTGTCTGCCTTTTCCTTATGTTGCTTTTTTATACATTTAACTTGTAGAGGGCATACTGCTTCCTTGGAATTAATTGGGCAGTTCATACTTCACAGAATTGTAGCTCCCATTTGTCTGTGTATACATCAGATACTTTCATCTGTTAAATTTAATGCACCTTTTGAGGGATTTTCCACAACCTTGATGGCAGATATCTAAAGTTTGAAAACTGAGAGAGATGCATCTACAATGAGCATTGTGAAATCTTATTTTTCAGGGACTTTTTTCCTAGAATACAATTTACAAATCAAGGTGCTACATTCTATATAGAGTTTATTAAACCAAGTATGTACTTTATCATTCATTAGGATTCTGTATCTTTACCTGTGGGTAAGAATGTGCTGTTTCCTCCCATATCTTTATCTCATCATTCCTATTTCTTAACCAGACTGTCTTTTTAAATATAATTGCTGTTAACTGTACTAAGGGAATGGTCATGGAGGGATTTGTGTGTTAAGGGCCCAGCTGATATGCCCTTCCAAGTCTGAAGTGGCAGGGATGGCTACAAAAATACAGGTGGCTATGAATATTAAAACAAGAGAAACTCTGTAGATCCCAAATTAGAAAAACAGGTAAAGAGACTTAGCTTCATGGTGTTTTATCTGAATACCTCAATTCTACTGATTTACTTCATATGTCAAAGTGCTTTTGTAGATCTCATCATTATGAGTCTTTTGTTGCTAAATCCAAGGTTTCAGGAAGGGTTGTGGAAGCTGGAGAGAAGCATTTTTTGTTCCATTATGCACTGGCTGTATTCTAGCTCCGTGGTAAACCAACGGCTAGCTAATGGAATTGTGGCTTTAACTTCATCAAATTAGTAGGTAAACAAATGAAGCAAAGGAAAGACAGACCCTTGTTGAAGTATGAGGACAGTTTCTAATCAGCTTGCAGAGTGATGGACAGACACCAGCCTCAGCATCAGCACCAACCTGTAACCATCAAGGCAGATGTATGGTGAAGCTTGTAGTATCCTGAGTGGAACACTTTGCTCTGTGTAAAAAAAATAAAAAAAGTCCCCAGGTGTTAACTTCTGTCCTCCCACTCTGTCCTCCCACTGCACTCAGGAGTTTTACACCAATTAAACAAATAGCACAGGAGTAAAATCTGAGTTACCTTTCTATGTTCTGTATTGGTAGTAGCAAATGATACATTGATGCAACAGGACTAAAAATGTCTTTGTATTTCCAACAGCTCAATATAAAGCAGGTCCTTTCCGATCAAAAATTTGTCAGTCTGCAATGGGTGTGGTAGTGAATTGCAATCAGAAATGTGAATCACATAGCTGTATTAACAGCTTTCTCACCCCACTGATGAAGGTTAGTGCTTCCACTACAAGGACAGTTGTTAACAACTCCTAAAGAGCAGCTTTGTGAAACACAGGAAGTTTTACATTATTACAGCAGACTTAAACTTCTGTGTCTCAGCAGTTTATGTACAACTTGTTTGGTCATCTTGGCTGCACTGCAGCCCCTTCAGAGGGGGCAAACACTTGAATCATCTGCTTTAAACCTTCCCCCAAGAATCAGAATTTAACAAAAATTAAGGCAAAATTGGCTTGCAATAAGTCAGGAGAAGCAATGGTACCTAGACAGATAAACCCCACATGTACACAGTATTCGTTTTTTTTTTCTTGAGACTGACAGCAGACAGAGGAAAGGCAGGCTAAAAAGGAAGTGGCTAAAGTGAGTTAAGAGTAGTTACATAATACGTTGGCTACCACTGAAACTCAAATATTATTGTTAGTTTTAATCATTCAAGCGTGGAGTACCATTTTATATATCCTGAAGTCTGTAGATCCATATGCAACAGCATTTTGAAAATGTGCTAATTTGACGAGAAGACCAGCAGTGAAAAAGCAAATTGGTTAAATGTGACAGAACACTAATATTGATGAATGTCCTACTTTCTTTATTTTCTTTCAGTTTACAAGCTTTGAGGAAGGAAAAGTCCCGAGATGCTGCTCGCTCTCGCCGGGGAAAGGAGAATTTTGAATTCTATGAGTTGGCAAAGTTGTTGCCACTGCCTGCAGCCATTACCAGCCAGCTTGACAAAGCATCCATCATCCGGCTTACAATTAGCTATCTGAAAATGAGGGACTTTGCTAATCAAGGTGATCCTCCATGGAACTTGAGGATGGAAGGACCTCCACCTAACACATCAGTAAAAGGTATGGAGTAAATATTGTTGTGTACTATAGAATACAGCAGCCTTTAGTAACCTCTAAATTGAAATTTTTACCTTCATCCTTTCTTCTTTCCCTGCATATCAAATCCTTTAAAGGGATTCAAATGTGGAAATCTGAGGTCTGCATGAGAAAGACACCATGTGAAGGTGACATATAAACCTCTTATTTTAATTATTTTTTATTGAACAACAAACCTATGATATAACTATTACAGCTGTAAGTCTTCTGGGTGATGTAGGCTAAATTGCTTCAAGTTATTTACCTGTTATTGTGTTTCTTTGTTTTAGTTTTATATATTATCTATCTTTTGTTTTTGTTTTATGTAAGTATATGTTTGAGAGGAAAATGGCATTATTCCTTGACTTGAGAAATCAGTCTCTTAATTTTCTGGCTATACCTTAAAGGTAGAATTGGATATTTCTGAAGTTAGAAAGCATCACATCCAAATATTTAAATCTTCAAGTGAGAGACTAGGACATTATTTATCCTCTTTAATGTCTACAGAAATCAGTTTGACTTCTGAGCCAGTAGACATTTATCAACAAAATAGACTTTTTTTGGTATTAAAGGCTCTCTTTTAATGCTTACACAAGCATTTGGGGAGCAAAAGCATTGTTTTAGGTGTGAATTGCCACAAACTAGAGATGGTGTGCATGTTGTTCCTAAATAGTCTTTCCAATGACCTGCGTTAAGTGGACTTTTTTTTGTAATCTAATATATTTTCAACTAATGCCACCCATCTGGATCAGTGTGATCTCTGTCTGATAAGTACATTAAATTAGGGAGTAAGTTGCAGTAACAGAAATCAGGGTTACCAAACCTGGAGTTTCTGTGTGTCTTGGCTTTCACAGCACAGAATACTCTTTTATTACTGTTCTTACATTTTGAAGGAAACAATATTTTTGGAAGAGGCAAATGAGATTTGAGCACTTTAGGTTTTTTCCACAAATTATGAACTATAAACACTTGATCTACACAAGCTAGATAGACTGTATATTGAATGAGGCAAATAAAGAAGCCACCTTTAAGAGTAAGCGGAGGAGGTAGAAATAGAATCTTATTTATCAGCTCACAACTGTCCATGAAGGGTTACTTGTATTGATGCTGCAAAGGGCTTTTACCCTTCTATTTAAAGGGAGTGATATTATTTAAAGAAAGTTAAAATTTTCAGTGGATGGAGAGAGGCATGGAGGGCAAAAACCAATGCAGTTTCAGATTGAGGATTTACTAGCTGGACATAGTGCCACCATTTCATATATTTAATTTATATTACCTGTCACATCATCACACAGAGAAAAAATAAAAGGTAATAATTACATCATCCAGGACATGAGTGTAACATGGTTCATTAGGCTTCTGATATAATATGCAAATGTTCCCCGTTTTTACAGGATGAGAGTTTATTCTCAGGCAATTAAATGGTATTTCAAGGTAGATGTAAAGTGGACTCTGCTGTACAATCTATGATCTGTCTACAGGCTGTCCTGTCTTCCTGACAGTCCGAGGTCTGCCAGTGTCTGTGTGTATTTTCAGAGTATCTGAGATCTATTTTTCATTATACTCTTCCACAATACATACCTGAATACTTAATCTTCCTCTCTGTGCAAAGATTCTAATGAAGAAAATAATTTTAAGAAAGAAAAAAAAAATAAATCTTGCTCTTAGACAACAACATCCATAGATTTATGTTTCTCCTTAGAAAAGAGCTGGGTAAACATTTAATGTCTGTTCACCCTACCTGGTATAATAACCCTGCCCCTCCAACCATCTAGTGCTATGGTTCTCATTCCTTTGGGTGCAAAGGGTTTGGGGGCTCAGGAAGGGGTTTTGACTTTTTTTCTCTCCTGTTTTGGTGCTTAATACTAAGTAGGATTGTATTATTTAAGCATCAATATGTTGTAACAGTGCTTGATGAAAGAGTGTTTCATTGTATAAGATTTCCACGTAAACAGGCTTAACTGTATAGTACAGGTATATTTTATGACTTCACCACTTCTCCTTACATAGAAACCTGTTAACACATTCTGATCAAACATCCAGGAAATTACATCAAAAGAAAATCAGTTTCATTAATTAAGCATTATTTTGCTGCCCTTGAAGAGGTTCATATGAATAAACAAGCTCACATAAATAGCTTGCAGGTTCGTGTGAAGTATGGATGATAAACCTACAATAAAACACTAGACATTATACTTTGTATGTGCACAAGTAATCTTCTGGATAGACTTAAAGGTATTTGTGAAATTATTTGAGAGGTACTTACATTGTGTAGGCAACTGCTATTTTTCTCCTTCCCCCAAATGCGTTGGTCTGCTTGTATTAATCATTCATTTTAAAAGCTTAGTTTTAAATTTGTCCCCCAGTACTGCACAGCAATTTGATAATTTTAATTTAGTATTTCAGGTAGGTTCTTTACTCTGCCCTGTATTTATCACAGCTTTTCTTAGAAGTCTGTAAAGGCTGATGAGTTTGTTTTCTTATGCCTATTGTGTAGTGATCACTACAAGTTGTGCTTGCAAATGAGCACTCAGATAACTCCATATAATATTTTCAGAGTCAATTACTTCATGGAAATATCTTGAGCAATTGGAAAGTAACAGATAGTTTTCTCCATTATTTTGGAAATATCTGTGTTGTTATAATACAGATCAAATCTGCAATGAACATTATGCATTATTCAAGAAATGACCAGGCATTCTCAGCAGTGTTTCAGCTAAATAACTGATGATTGTAACCTTTAAAGAAATCTCATTGTGGTGACTATTGGTAAATCATTTCTCCATTCATAGTAATCTTTATTTAGAGGCGATCTAAAAACCATTATATCTTTTATTAATCTTAAAAGCAATAGCCAATGATTTGACATTTGCTAAAAATGGAAAAAATTTCCATCCTCTAATACAGCAGACTTCAGTCATTTTTTTTTTTTTTTTTTTTTTTTTTTTGTCTAAGGCTTTCTGTGTGTAGGAAGACTCAATCCTTACAAACAAATACGCAACTTACAGCAGATGTGTTTAAAGACAGTACTTAAAGACCAGGGTATGATTGTGTTTGGAAGAAAATAATCAAGATGTACTTATTGTCAGTAGGAATAAAGTTTTCAGGTTTTGATAGTACATACAATGTGTTATGAATAACAGTACTATTCTCCTCTGTTTCCATCCTTCCAAAAGTCTTTCTTCCTTGTCTGGAGTACGTTCTGAAGAGAACAGTAAATGAGCTGTTTATCAGTTTTTTGAACTCAAATGTGAGCTTTCTGGAAGTTGTCTGGAAATAGAAGTATTTTCATAGCATATGCTGTGTTTTCAGCCAGGACGTGGTACTTTATGGGGCATGGAACTTGAAATTCTCATGTGCATTCTGATACTAGGCCTTGTAGTCCTGTTGCAACATCAAACTCTTGTGAGGACCTTTGTATTCTGGAATATTGTCTTCAAATTATTGACTTGAAATTTCATAGTACTTTTAGCAAAAACTATTTCTCAAAGCATTCAAAATCATGCAAGTTTTCATGTTCTTTTTATTGTGGGTCTTTTTGCCAAGCCACATGTTTTTCTTTTTTTTAATGTTTTTATTTTTTTTTTAGTAGTGAAAAGGAAAAGGAGCGGAGGAGTGGGAGGCACAGTGATCTTCCACAGTGTGTTGGATGTGTTTGGCTGATGTAAAATCATGCTGTGGGTTTTGGTTTTGGGCAATCTTTGGGACATTGGTTCTGACTCAGGACCACTGCCACTATGAAAACAAGGCTCATGACCCTTTGCCTTGAACAAAGTAAATCCAGTACTTTGTGCCTAGTTTTGTGAATCCTTGACCTGGTAATTTGCCATGATGACATTGAAATAATTACAATATTTTAATTCTTTTTTTTTTTTTTTTTTTTTTTTTATTCAAGTGAGGTCTTAATTTCTGTCTTTGGAGATACAATTGTTTTTGTAAGGCCACAAGTATTATTTGCTGTTGAATTATGTGACATGTGGAAACTAGAATATGTAAGACAACTTTGGGTATGTTAAATTAAAAGTGGGTTTATAATTTTTATTTTTCCAAGCCAAAACTTTACATTTTATGCTACATAAGAAAAAATCCTCTTACTTCTGCTGTAAGAGAAGAGATGAGTGAGAGATTATAGCTGAGGAGTGAGAAAGGACTTCAGTAACACTGACTGACAGGTAGGTTGTGTGAAGAATCTCGCTTTTAGTTTAGCCATCTCTACTTTCAGTGTTCTGTGTTCTGCAAATAGGTAGTTTTATGCATTTTTATTCCAGAATTGATATATATTACTAGGAGGAGAAATCAGATGCTCTCAGAGGTATTTGTGGTGTATTGAAATACTTCTTGCCCAAATTGTTCCTGTTCAATATAAGTAAATACAACCCTGAAAAGTTCCTTACCACAAATCACTCAACGTTACTGCAAGTCTGCATTGGTACAAGGATTAAAAAAAAAAAAAATTGATAAACAGAAGAAGAAAAATTACACTTCAAAACAAAATCGCACATTTTTCCTTCAAAGTAGCATGTTTTTCAGAGGTTCCATTCTCAAAATAAACAAAGTATGTAAGTCTAGGCTGAAAATGAACATGATGTCATATCATACTGTGGGGCTTGGGGTTGAGGAAATAAGTCCAGCACTTTGAATTCTCTGGGAAAGAAAACAAGCAATAATGATAATTAGAAAGTATGGTAATTGTTATCCCAAATGTCAAGTGGAATTACTTTCATTAATTTAAATATCTTTTTCTAATAAATTTTGTGCTAGATATGTATGCACTTAGAAGAGATGAATAAGTTCTCTTCTGCATGACCTTATTGTGGAAACACTTTAAATAACATTACCTGTTGTTAGCCTTTTATATTTTAAATTGAGTGTTGTCTTCTGAGCCAGGAAGAGCAAGATAGTGCAAGCCATTCCCTGCTAAAACCCACAAGCCTTCCAGTAAGACCACCTTCCATTCTGAACCCCATCACTGTTCTCTCAGGGAAACCATCTGTGACAGCAAAGTAAGAATTACTTTCTTCTTTACAGTTTTTGGCCTAAGACATTGTTTTTCAAAGTTTTATGTGAAAAAACCAATCAGATGAAAACAGGATAACTCAGGTGAATTGGTGGTATTCCTTGATATGAAAAGAGTCTCCAAATCCAGATC